GCTGGGCAGAGCAATAGGAAGGGAGGGGTTGGCACTTGGTTGGGCTTGTAGTGACAAAAAGAGAGCAAAGATAGAAAACCGGCGACCGGATGGGCAAAGTTGAGGGTGCCAGTTGGAGGAGCCGTGCGTAGGTGAGAGGGATATGTGGGGGAATAGGTCGGGATAGCCACCACCTCGAAGCAGAACACAGCCGGAGCAACACATGTCGTTAGATAAAGCCCCAGCTAGAGAAGAACGCATGGAGGCAGAAATCTAATATCAGAATTAATTAAAAACTAACCCTAAGCAAGTAAAACAACAAATATATAATAGCTAGGAAATAAAATAATTGTGGGAGGCTTCCCCTTTATGTCGCAACCAGAAAAGGATGGTGAGGATAGCGATAAACAGAGAAAGCAAGACGACAAACAGAGAAGGAAAAGGTGTGGCAATCCGAATAAGAAAAGCACAAATGTAGCTTTGGATCGGTAGGCTGGTTTGTTGGCCTTGTTCTCGTTGGCTAATCCGACCGGTTCGGCCCTTCTACAGGGTGGACAGTGGCAAGTAAGCCACGATGTCAGTCTTTCCGGATTGAGGAAAATTTGACTTCATTCGTCGGAGTTTATGATTCTTCTTCAATCCTAACAGCACTCGGCCGGCTATACTGTCTCCCAAAGCACCGAAACATTATCCTAGGGTTGTAAGCATACAACCATATCGATCAGCTACCTAACTTCATAGTGGACTCAACCTGTTTAGAAGTGAACGTAGCTTGAATCTCCCTACATAGTGGTGTCTCTGATGATAAAGTATCGACCATGATATCTTAAAATGCTCTTTGTCGTGTATGTCCATTCTAGAGCTAGTCTCTCAGTTCTATCATCATCTATCATCACCAAAACTAGTCCCACTGATGCTGCTCTGTTGGCAAAGGGCGTCTGTGATCTTGTACTTCGTCGAAGGGAGGACTGTGCGCTTCTCATCCTTGATGAAGGAATAGGTGTTTCTGAATCTGACATGTTGAGTCCTACACTTAAATTGTCACAATCTTCCCAACAAAATGTGGTAGGCATACATGAGGACCAGATGGCACCACAAATGATCTTGCAGTTGGCTCCCCATCAAACACTCCACGAGGCACCTTTGGTCAATACTGACCATATTTTTCTTCTTCAGCCACGTCAGAGAATATGGCCGGGAATGTCTCTAAGCCATGAGACCCAACTTCTCCACCATCTATGTAGACACAATGCTATTATTGTTCCCTCTATCGATTATGAGACTGCATACCTTCTCGTTCAAAGTGCAAGGGGTAAAGAATATATTTTGATGAAGCCACTTTGAATCCACTGTATCATCGTTCTACAGTGTCTGTCACACCACGAGCATCTCGCCCTCATCAGGTGTAATAAAATGCCACTTCACCCGGTTCCAAAGCTATCTCCTAGCCACTAATCACCTCCATGGCGCCCTGCTTAGTAAAAGGCACAAATCGGCTAGTCGGACAGTTGGAGGCGATGTGCCTAAATCCGTAGCATCTGAAGCTTTTTCTATTGAGAACCGTAGTGGGTTTGCTACTCTTCTTGGGCTTCTTCTCACTGACGGAAGCTCTGTCCATATCCGAAACAATTTTCTCAACTTCCTAAAGTGTGATCCTATAAGTGTTTCTAATTGCAAATGGTTGCCTGACTTGTTGTGGTTGTCTGCTCTGTTTCAGCTACTTTTTCACTCTCAACGCTAAGGCCTAGACATCTGCAAGAGACCAATGGGGTTGCAGTTGTACCACGTTGTTGATAGCAAGCTTTAGACCTCCAAGATAACGAGCTATCGTATGCTCCTATGGCTCAACTAACTCAAACTTTATCTGTAATTGATCAAGTTGGGTCGTGAACTCCGCCATTGATAAATCTCACTACTACAGGGTCATGGACCAAAGAAACATATCATGATGGTAGTGGGGTGGCAGGTATTTCCTTTGCATCATCTTTCTTATCTTCTCCCACTTGGTGATCTTGTCACTGCCCATCTTCAACTTGATGGAGGGTAGTTTTACCCGTTTAACCTCTGTCACATCCTTATACTCGAAGATTCGCTCAACAGAATGCAGTCAATCAAGAAAATCGTCTGGATCCATACCTCCATCAAACTCTCATGGATTTACCTATATTTCAAAGTCCTTGTGTCCTCCATATGGGGCCTCCTTTCTAGGCGTCGTCTGACATTGGACTCCAAATCATCATGGCATTTCCTCTTCATCGCTGAAACACTCCTATATAAGGGATTGAAATTCTCTTCTCTTTTGCCTCTTCAACTTTCCATGTCACCATTGAGGGTAAGTCCCCCATGGGTTTCATCATCCATCACTACAAGTCTCAGCTGGAGACGAGAGGGCTCTCGTTGTATCTCTTTCCAGATATATTTGGGCACGTTTCTCCTTGTTGGCATGGCTAGGGTTTATGGTTGGGAGGTGGAAGAAGGTGTATGAGACTAATTGTTGGTGTAGATTGCTGATTCTGAAAATCAGCGAAAGTAAATTAGGGTTTGGTTAAAGTTTAGATATGGTTTGAAAAAAGGAAAAAAAAATTTTGGTAGAGGCAGCTTGGCCAGAGTCGAATACTAGGAAACCCTAGAATAAGACCAGTGTTTGGCTAGCTCTGATACCAATTGATACCCAAGTTAACCCAAACCATAAGAGAAATATAAACATTATTGCTCAAATCCAACAAGGGTACAAACAAGACTCTAATTAGGAAAAAAAAGGACAGCACAACAAGAATTCCCGACTAGAGCATATCGGGATAACCGGCAAACAGCAACGAGGATGGCTATGAGAAGTGATGGTGAGCTGTAAAGGGCTAGTGGGAGGGTTTCGTTTGTGATAGAAAGTGGGGGCCAGGCTTCTGGCATAGTTGTGGAACAAATAGGGAGATGGGCGGAACAGCATGGAAGAGAGGGGCGGAACAATGAGCAGTTGGACTGTAGGTGGGTCTTATGGCGACAGCAAGAGCAACGATAAGGAACCAGTGGCTGGAGGGGGATAAGCTGAAGGTGGTGACTAGAGGAGCAACGCATAGGGAATAGAGATGTTGGGGACTAGGTCGAGATAATCACCATCTCGAAGCATAACACAGTCGAAGGACCACTTATTGTCGGATAAAACAATAGCTAGGGAAGAATGCCTGGAAGCAAAAATATGAAATCAGAATTAATCAATAACTCACTCTAAGCAAGCAAAACAACAAATATATAATAGCTAAAAGATGGAATAAGTAGGGGAGGCTTTCACTTTGAGCGACAACCAAAAAAGCAAGGGAACGCTGGCGACAAACAGAGAAGGCAAGGGCAACAAACAGAAAAAAAAAATGGTGCAACACTCTGAATACAAAAGGCGACACTGTAGCCTTGGGCAGATTGATTGGTTGGCTAGACATGTTTTCCCTAGCTGAACCGGCTGGTTCTGCCCTTCTACCGCAGGTTGGGCTGCAGCAAGTAAGCCCCCACATCAATCGATTATCCTTTGAAATATATGTCCACAACATAAGAGGAATTTATCTCCTTGTAGCAACATATCAAATACGGCACCTTGAAAAAATAATACAATACCGGCAAAACAAAATCCTTACTCCATTAGGTTTGTGGAAAGCACACAACAAGATTCACACTCACATCCATCCATGGTGACTCTAGAATGAAAGGAAAGCATTTAGACCAGTATTCTACCGTTGAACTTAAATCGATATAAAACTTGCACAATCTAGATATGCCATGCACATCTAACACCAATCTAGGCCAATAGAAATTTTGTCACTACTAAAAGAGATTTGACCCTGCCAAAATGTCCAAACATCTCTCCATGTTCTACTTGAGTAAACTCGTATGGATACACAATATGTTTTAACAAAACAAGTAGTCAAGCAAAAAACCTAAATCTCCTGACAATGAATCTAAATATCTTGAAAACCCTCATTAGTAGCATTCGTATCCTTCAATACTTTTAGCCCTTCCACCTTTGATTGCATGGTAGTGATCAACATATATCGGCGAGCATCAGACGCCCTATTTTGACTGTTAACTTTGCATGAGCATAAAATGAAATGGAGAAAGAAACTTCACCAATGATGCTACAATATGTTTTAACAAAACAAGTAGTCAAGCAAAACACCTAAATCTCCTGACAATGAATCTAAATCTCTTGAAAACCCTCATTAGTAGCATTCGCATCCTTCAATACTTTTAGCCCTTCCACCTTTTGATTGCATGGTAGTATTCAACATATATCGGCGAGCACCAGACGCCCTATTTTGACTGTTAACTTTGTGCATGAGCATAAAATGAAATGGAGTAAGAAACTTCACCAATGATGCTTATCTATCATTCAACCTTCTCTAACTATTTGAGAACCCCAAAGTCTCATGATCGATGGAAAAAGTAAACTCATTCACCAACAAAAACTAATTGCAGTGACTAAGAGTCCTATCTATGACAAGAACTCCTTGTCATAAGTGGAATAATTTTATCTTGAACTATTCAGCCTTGACCTCACGCGACTCCAATTCTACATAGAAGTCATCAAAACACACTTCTAACACCTTAAAATTCCTATCTTATGATCAACCAGTTTTGATTTCTAACTTGCACTTAATCCACACCAAGTCTGATGTTGTAATTGAAACGTAATACAAAAAAAAATAATGTATACTTTTGTTAACATTGTAGTATATATGAATAGAATCAAGAAAAATGAAAAATATTTATCAGATTATAAAGTTGCGATCAATCTCATCTCAATTACAATTTATCAAGCTCGGCTTGCAAATTCAGCTCATTTCTTCAAACCAAATAAATAAATAAATAAATAAAAGTCTTCAATAAAATTCTAAAACTATTTTTCATGTTTGAGCACTCTCCAAAGCTCATTTCATGTCAGAGCTCTCTAAAGCTCAATTAAAGGTGAATGAACAGCCAAAACAAGGCAAACTCAACTCAAAATGGCCCATTCACAATTATAATCCAAAGATCACCTGGTTATAAACAAATCTCGTTAATGCTTGGCATCCAAGAATCTTTAAACGATCTGGCTGCTTCTCATCCAGTAGTGCAGTGACAACACTCAGTAGATTCCTAGCAAAGTATGCCCTGTGACAGAACAAAACAAATTTTCAAACTACGGTAAGTCAAAAAAACATTAAAGATGTTAAAATGCTCATACAGTTCACATGAGGGAATTTACACAAGTAGCAAAGATGCGCTTGGAGAATCAAAAGAAAATTTTTTTATAAATAAAAATAGTTGTTGATGGAATAATAATGTGCAAGAAAAGATAAATATAAGAAGTTATGTTATAAAAATTGGTTTAAATGAAAAAACTTAGAAAACACAGATAAATAAAAGATGGTCGTAGGGAATTCAAGGGAACAACTTATGGTGCTACAAATTCTGATTTTAGTGATTTTTATAATAGACTGGATACTAAAGAGAGTGAAAAATATATGTATAAAATAGCCACACACAGAGAAAAGAAAAGTAAAGATTTAACTCAAGTAAAGTGTATTAAAAATGAAAATTAAAAGTACTTTTCTTAAATGAAGATATTCAAAATAGGTGGTTATGCCATTTTGATATATTTTTCAATAGTGTCTAAAAATACAAACGACCTCAATGATCTTAAATCATTAACAAAAAAAAAATTATTTTACCTGTCGCATTAGTAAAAAAGAAGTTCAAGAGGCTTTAAAAAAAATCAAGGATGAAAAATTAAGACATGAAGACATCTCAATTGAAATGTGAAAATATCTAGGAGATTTGGGAGTTTCTTGGCTTACTAATCTCTACTAAGTTTCTTGGCTTACTAATCTCTTTAATATTATTTTAAAAACTAAAACAATGCCTTAGGAGTGGAGGAAGAGTATTTTGGTTTTCATTTTTTAGAATAAAGGGAATGAACAAGAGTGCGCAAATTATAGAAGAATTAAGTTGATGTGTCGTACTTTAACATTATGGGAGAGACTAATTTAAGACATGATACAAAGATTTCTCATAATCAGTTTGGACTAATGTTGAGCAAATCTACTATGGAAGCTATACATTTATTGAGAGATTTGAGGAAGAAGTATAGAGAGAATAAAGAGGATCTAAATAAGATTTTATTGATTTAAAAAAAGCTCAAGATAAGATTCCAACAGAAGTCCTTTGGAGAGTTCTAGAGAAGAAAGTTGTTGATATGACTTAAATTCAACTCATTAAATATATATATATACCAGAGTTGTTACTTGTGTTCGAACAGAACGAGGATAGACCAAGTATTTTCCTATTTCAGTGTAGTTGCATTAGGGGTTTGCTTTAAGCTGAAATCTAGAACGAGGATAGACCAAGTATTTTCCTATTTCAGTTTAGTTACATTAGGGGTTCGCTTTAAGCTGAAATCTTTTTATTTTAGTTATGAATGCTCTTACTGGACATTTAAAAGAGGATGCACCTTTGTAAATGCTTTTCGACAATCATATTCGTCTTGTGGACAAGACTAAAGAAAGAATTCAACAAAAACTTGAATTATGGAGGCCTACATTGGAGTCTAAAGTCCTTCTCTTGAGTAGATCTAAAACTGAATACATGGAATGTTATTTTAGTAGTAGTAGCTCTGGTGGCAGAGTTGCAACTATGGGTGATCAAATCATTAAAAGGTAAAAGGTGACGTTTTAAATATCTCAGGTCTATTGTTCAAAGTGATGGTGATATAGATGGGGATGTTATTAGTAGAATTCAAGTTGGTTGGTTGAAGTGAAGGAATGCATCGGGCCTGTTCTAAGATAGAAAAGTTGTGCTTAGACTGAAATGAAAATTTTAAAAGATGGATTCATGTAGCTGACCCCACTTATTGGGATAAAAATTAGTTGTTCTTGTTGTATAGTTAAGATGAGGGAATCATCACAGTTACATAAGATATATGATATATATTGTTATCATAATCATCATAGTCATGTTAGCTACATGATATATATTGTTATCCATGAGACCATATATGCATCAATTTATCCATAAACTATGCCATTAAATAGATTTACTTAATTCAAACATTAATATGTATCTCAAACCCTAACTAGAAGCAAATTCAGAACTCAATTTATATAGAGCTCATTGTGACCACTAAACCAGCATGTATTAGTACTTCCGGTATTAAAAAGTGGTTCAAGAAGGAAACTTCAGATAAGGAGGAAAAATCAAATCAATTTCATTATAAGAAGCACAACAAAAATCATATATGAAAGTTACAATCAGCAGATTATCAATGTAAGAACTTGAGCAAAAAATCACTCTATTGTAACGTAAAAAAAAAAGCAATATAAAGACTTCTTTCAATACAAATAATAATCCAATGGTCATCAAGAAAAAAAATTATAAAACAGCGACTAAAAATAAAACTCAATAGCTAAAAGGAAAATCAAAAACAACATGCTCGACATTTCACTCACACAAATAAGACAAGCAAGTAAACAAAACAAAAAAAGAATGAGGAACAGGATTCACGGAAAGGAAGAATCAACTCTCATATCGGTAAAAGGAGACTTAACAGGGAAGTAGTAGTATACGCATTTGTAAAGCATTTAAAGAATGCACTTCACACATAGGAATAGAGAAAAAAATTGGAACTTTGTTTCCATATGCAATGTCCAATGAATTTGGCATGTCACAGGGTCTAAAGATACATATATCCTACAAATAACTAAAATATGAAACTCAAAACCTATCAAAAATCATTTAAATATATAAAGCATCAATTCATTATTCAAGAATGCACCATACATCTAAAGTTCGTCTCCCGGAGTGAAAAATCCAATCATGATTCCATCATTTGGATGGAGAATTCGACAACTAGTAAAAAATACAGTCGAGAGATGGTAGCAAGGACAAAGGCTGTAACTGGAACATAAGGAAGCAACAGCAACCTTAATAGGATAGGAAAGTAATGTAATGTCGTGATAGAGTGCGAAAATAGTGCTTTAACGAGAAAGCAATGTAAGAAATTAGAAAGGAAAAATAAGAGAAGCACTTGGTTGAATAGGGGCAGAAAGAAGGTTAACTACCTTTATTACTACAATTATAAAATAGGAAGCGTGCTATATTGCAATTCAATGAGTTGATTTGAATCATCACAGCAAAGAGCTAATTCTAACGAAGTAAGAAAAACATCAGAGACTTTGCTGCTACAATTATGAAATTGAAAGTATATTAAATTGAAATTCAATGAGCTGAATTGGATCCCTACAGCAAAGAGCTAATTCTAACAAAATACACAATATACTAGAGAATGCTCTTCGTTCGTATAGGAACCATAATCAAGAGCATGTTTTATACAAAATAAACTAAAACAAATGCACGCATAAAACTCATAGTGGTCTTTTGTCTTTGTGATTTTAATCTGCGTACACTTGAAAATTTAGAAGTGAAAAAGTTTGACTTCAACAGTTTGAGCATTTAATATTCACCAAGTTCAGCATAATTGTGATGCGTTTTATAGAGTAATCTACAAGTTATCACAAACAGTATTGTCATGCCACTGCGTACAACACCACTAATATCCATCATCAATAGTGAACACAACCTCAACATAAGTGATAATATCAGAAACAGGTAGAATACCCTATCTAGCAAAGTGTTGGAAGTGAATTCATGAGGTGAGGAGAGGAGAGGAGAGGAGAGAGAACTCATGTCTAGGAGAGGAGAGGAGAGGAGAGGAGAGGAGAGAGAACTCATGTTGCAAGTAACAGATTCGTGAAATAACATTAGATAAAATACAATGAAAACACAACTAATACAAATATTTCAAGAAATTTTTAGTTTGTAACCATTAATCCCAATGAATTGTATTACTTTAAATGGCCTCGTCTCCTTACGATTAATCTTTTAAGGATCAATAAAAGCAAAAGATTCAGGTTCAGACTTATAACTTGGGTTAAACTTCACATGACTTATGTTCACGCTAGCAACAGACTTATAATTGCTACAATTACCTAGTAGTTTCAAATAATATCTTCATGCACATGTTATACAAATGAATGTGCAACTTCCTAGGCCTAAATGCAAAAGGCAGTTCAACGAGAACTAACCGATTTCTTAGGCCAATAAACAATTTCAAATGTACTCAAATTCACTGATCAGTTAAATGATAAATTAAATGCAAACTCAACCATAAATAATATTAGATCCCGCCTAGATGTTCGTTTTAGAGCCTGTTTGAGGTAGTTGATATTAGATCCCGCCTAGATGTTCGTTTTAGAGCCTATTTGTAGCTACAGCTTTTAAAAAAGATGATTGTAAAACTGTGATGGAAAAAACTTCTTAGAAATATGCAACAAAAGTAACAAATATAGTTTTTACAAAAAATTAGATAGCAACTTTCTTACAGCCACCCCACTTTAACAAGTAAAATTGAAAAAAAAAACTTCCCATCACAGAAATTTATATAAAGCGGCAAAAAAAAAGTTCCCCAAATAGAGTTATGGTGATGCTCTGAAACGCATAAAAAAAACAGAAAGTTATCCCAAACAGACCATTAATCGAATAACATAACAGATCACCCAAACTCCAATTAGCTTCAATTTGATAAAAAGGACGTAGCAATAAGTAGTTGAAATTTTAAATCAAGTTTTCATTTCTTCCATGGAATTTTCTAAAAATAACAAAGTACATCTACATTTGATAAATATTTTACACAAGATATGTAATTTACCTACTTCATTAATGTATACTTTTGGCCATGTACATGTCTTAGTAATCTAGAAACTTAGAATAAATGAGCGGTCTTTGAAAAGCAACCAACAATTATAAAAAGAAAAACAAGCTTTTGTAGTATTATTTACGATAATCCTACAACAAAATCCATTCTCACATCCTCGCAATATTTACATGGGATAAACAACAATTATATAAAAAGCCACTAATGTGTTTCTATGCTAATTTCATTAGGCATGTTCTACATTGTGACACTATTTGTGCAAAATCACACTTTAAAAAAGATCAATAATGTATATCTTTAGTCATGGCTATGGCTTATCTCTGTCACAATGTCATTCAGCACCAAAAACATAGATTTCTAAGAAAATATTGCATGGACGAATAAGGAATATAAAAAATGATGT